AAGAAACTGATACAAATTCCTCAAAAATTTTACATGCTTCAACTGTGTTACATTGATCATAAGATGCTAGAGAACTTCACACATACTAGCATAGCAAGGATGGAACAACTACACTATAGAAGATATAGGCTGGTGAATCAAATGATTGTGGAGCTTCACATGCTGGTAAGATAATGTAATCACTAATCACTAAGTTATGGACACAGGTTGAAGTGAATTGAACATTTTCTAGCATATTATATTTTGATCTAAGGATGATTATAACAGCCACTGTTCTACATCCTCAAGACTTTAACAAAGTATTGTTCAAACTATTTGGGGCAGACTACATTAAATGGGTTTTGCAATTGTGCTCTGGCTATACGTGATATATTCATGAAGTTTTAAAATTAAAAAGTGTGACGTAACAGAGCGAGGACTGCTTAAGTTACAGATTAAAGAAAATGAAATACAAATATATTCTTCAAACAAATTTTTATTTTTATTTTTTAATAATAAAAACACTAATTATATGGCAGAAAGTGTGTCAAAACTTCCTCAGCATAAGCTGGAATTGAAAAGGCATTGTGCTTTTGTAATAACCACTTTGATCTTCAATAGGCTTTCAATAATTTATGATCAAAGGTTGGCCAATACAAGCACCAGAAGTATTTTGTAAGAAGCGTTTAGATCTTGAATTTGAAAAATGATTTGCCGAGATCAAAAAAAATGGAAAAAGTGACAAAATTTTAGCTCTTAGTTCCATCACTTTTCCATTCACTTTTCATTTCCCTCTGCAAATCCTACTAAAATCCATTATCCAAACACGGCCTTAAAGCATTCAATCAACTCTATCAAAGCAAACCATCCAGCAGATTGCAGACTAAATACGCTTCACATCAAGCATTTCCTTCTCTTTCTTTTCATCCTATAAACCAACACAAAAATCAAAAATAAAGATCTTCCAAACTAAAATTAAAATTTTACATCCAAGCAAATTACCACAAGACGAAGAATTATATAACGAATTTTCACATAAAATCATGATACATCAATCGATCTCAAGTCGAACATGAAATTAGACCGATCCACACAAACGCAGTCATATATACGTATATCCATATGCATTCGTGTAGATAAAGCTATAAGCGCGTATACAGACAAACACACGAACACATATACATATATAAAATGCAACTCGAACAGAAACAGCGTCAAATTGGAAGAAAGAGAGCTCAGATAATCGATCTAAACACTGAGAAACCGAAACTGAAACGCACCTGGAGTGATCAAAGCTCTGAACAGAGTCGAACGATGGAGAAGAAAGTCTCAGATCTCAAATCCACAGAGAGAGAGAGAGAGTCAAGAGGAGAGTAATGGAGAGATTTAAAGAGGAAACCCTAAGGAAGGAGGGGGCACTCAAGTCCAGGGAATCCCGTACCCGTTCCCGCTCTGATGAGTTCGCACGTAGCCATTTTTAGGCCAAAAAAGTAAGGATTTGCCGGGGAAATTAATTAAAAATGTAAAATAATCTCATATTTTGCTTAAAATTGTGATTCAGTTACTGACCCTGTTTAGGAAGGATTATTTGAGCTAAAATAGTCAATAAAATACAAAATAGACTAAAAATTTTAATAGGATAAAATATCACATTTAATTCATAATTATTTAATTTTTTTTTTCTTACAATTATCAAATCAACTACAAAAAAAATAAATATCTTTCAACTTTCCAAACGAGGCCACTATATACAAATGATTGAATTTCTTCCATGTTGAGATCTTATTATGAGAGAATTTGAGGGTCATAATGCCGCCCACTATGGGTCTCGTTTAAATGATTCGAATCGTTCATTTTTTAAAGCTCTCAATGTATATTATTTATGAAAAAAGTTACAACGATCCAATAATGATAACCTTTTTATTTTATCGCATTTTTCTTTAAAAAATTTATGGTCTATTTCAAAAATGTATTTTTTATCTTTTTTTTTTTGAAAACAAGTGTGGGAAAAAAAAAATTTATGATTATTGGATTGAATTAAATTTTTTTCATAGATAATATACACTAATAGCCCTGCAAAATTAACTATTCAAATTATAAAAACTGGACCCGTGGTGGATTTTATAGACCTCTCAAGTTCATGTTGAGATCTCAATATGAGAGAAATCCAACCCTATGCAAAATGTATTTAAGTCAAATATTGAGGATGTCTTATTAATTTTTATTAAATGTATTTCCTTTTAGTACTTATTTTCTTTAACAATAAGATTATATTAATCATCATTTTAGTAAGATTATATGAATAAAATTAAATACAATAATACAAAAACACTTGAATAAATAAGAAAACATATATATATTTCAATGTAAATACATGATAATTTATTTTTTTATTCATATAACAGGGGTTAATTACACTTAATACACTTATACCTTTCGCAGTAATTTTACTTTTAATTGTAATAGTCAACTTCTTACATTTTATGTCAAATTACAATATTATCATTATATTTATCTACATTTTAAGGCTAATATATTTCTTTTGTCTCATTAAGTATCCCTATTGTTTGTCTTTTACTTTCACTAAATTCGCAGCTTTAGTTCTTACATTTTTACTAAATCTCACTTTAGTCGTTTCATTTTTAATTTTGGACAAATTTTACTTTACTTCCTGTGGTTTAGGTCATGTGTGATTTATCTCCATAATATTTGAAAATGATCACATAATCCTATTATGATTTGTGAACTGAAGTATACTGTTAAGCCCGTTAATAATTTAATAAAAAAGTTTAAAATACTCTTATGTTTTTATCATTTGTTTGAAAGGCAAAGTGCACTTTAACTCCTATTATCCCCTTAAACTTTGAAAATGAACATATAATTCTCTTATATCTGCTTCACCCTTACTGTGTAAATTAGATGAAATGTTTAACGGTATACTTCAGTTCACAAACCACTTGGGAGTTATGTAGTTATTTCCAAACGTTAAGGGATAAACCGCACGTGACTTAAACCACAAGAGATAAAAGTGAAGTTTACTCTTTAATTTTTATCAATATCATTAACATTGATAGACGGAATAGTGATATTGTAACTTCACAATGTAAGAGATCGACTGTCATAATTAAAAATGAAATAACTAAAGTGAGATTACTGTAAAAGTGCAAGAGTATTAAGCATAATTAACTTTCTAAACAAGCTCCTCGTAACTAAATATGAATATTAGCAAAATATGTACTTTGAATTCTATTATGAAGTCTTTTGGTTGCGTCAACATTAATTGTTCCAAAAATGAAATACCTTGCGTTTCTCTCTCTCTCTCTCTCTCCACACACGAATAATCTGCCAATATCGAAAGTATATTCTCTACTTTTTTTGAACATAAGTATATTCTCTATTGGAGGAGGAAAAATTAAAATTATACGTATTTATGCGGGTCTTTTGGGAAGGGAAAAAAAAATAATTTAAATTTGCTTGTTTTCATCTTTTAGAAAATATTTTTTAAAAAGTTTTATTTTCTTATTTTTCGTATTTTTTTGTTTTTATTAAATTTTTTTAATATTTTAAGTAATTTTTTTACTTTTTAGACACATCTAACATAAATACACTTAAAAAGTAAAAAAATTATAAAAAAAAATCTTTTAAAAATTCACTAAATATAAAAAATATAAAAAAATACAAGAATTCAATACATTTTTTTGTATTTTTATGTATTTATTAATTTTTTAAAATATTTTTTTCACAAAATTTTTACTTTTTAGATACCTCTAACTAAGGTGCATCTAAAAAAGTAAAAAAAAATGTTTAAAATTTTAAAAATATTTACTAAAAATAAAAGAATATGAAAACTAAAAAACTCAATTTTTAAAAAACTTAATCTAGAAAACTCAAACTAAACACACTGAATAGTACTGAAACCCTCAGTGGGAGTGACTCCCAGCATCCCCACCTCCACGTGTCTTGCTATGAGAGCAAGACTGGAAAAATAAATAAATAAATAAAATTTGAGCCAATCAAAAAATAGTGGGGTCACCCCCACTAGGGGTCTGGGACATTTAAAAAAAAAAAAAAATTTTCTTTTTTTTTAATCACATCACTTTTGAAAAAGTCAAAAAATTAATTTTTTACTAAATTCTTAAAACACCACCAATATCTTATACAAATCACAAATTTTTATAATTTTTAATCATTTAATACAAAATTATAAAATTACACTCCTATTAATCACAATGGATTATTTTAGAAAGTTGGTAAAAAGTTGACTTTTTGATTTTTTTCTCAAAAAAATTCAGTATGTTTGGTTTTAGTTTTTTGGATTAAGTTTTTTAAAAATTGAGTTTTTTAGGTGCCGTTTGGTAACACACGTTTTCAGTTTTTATTTACAAAAATTTTAAAAACTCAAATAAAAACTTGTTTGGTAAATTTTTAATTTATAAATCAGTGGTCTCAGTTTATAAATTTAACAAAAAAATGTGTTTTCGTTTTGAGTTTTGAGTTTTTTTTTTTTTTTACCACCTACCACCGGTCACCATTTTCCACCATCGTCTTTCGCCACCACCAACCATCACCAACTTTTTTTTATATTTTTAAATTTTTTTAAACATTTTGTCAATTACCAAACGCGTTTGTAGTTTTTGTTTTTCTAAAAATAAACAAAAATCAGTTTATAAAATTTTTGTAAATATAAACTGAAAACGTAAACGTTACCAAACAGACTGTTTTCGTATTTTTTTATTTTAAGTGAATATTTTTAAAATTTTAAACATTTTTTTAACTTTTTTAGATACACATTACTTAAATGTACCTAAAAAGTAAAAAATTTGTAAAAAATATTTTTAAAAATTACTAAATACATAAATATACAAAAAAATATACTAACCACCCGCCACCGCCACCGCCACCACCACCACCACCACCCACTCGCTACCACCCGCCACCGTCACCCACCACCACCACCCACCCGCCATCACCCACCACCACGCGCTACCCACCACCCATCGTCACCACTTTCCACCACCGTCTTTCGCCGTCACTTGCCACCACTTGCCATTTCTCACTCTTTTTTATATTTTTAAATTTTTTTAAACATTTTGTCAATTACCAAACGCGTTTGTAGTTTTTGTTTTTCTAAAAATAAACAAAAATCAGTTTATAAAATTTTTGTAAATATAAACTGAAAACGTAAACGTTACCAAACAGACTGTTTTCGTATTTTTTTATTTTAAGTGAATATTTTTAAAATTTTAAACATTTTTTTAACTTTTTTAGATACACATTACTTAAATGTACCTAAAAAGTAAAAAATTTGTAAAAAATATTTTTAAAAATTACTAAATACATAAATATACAAAAAAATGTACTAAATTCTTGTATTTTTTTTACATTTTTTGGTATTTAATGAATTTTTAAAAGGTTTTTTCACAAATTTTTTTACTTTTTAGGTATATTTATGTTAGGTATGTCTAAAAAGTAAAAAAAAAAAATTGTTTAATGTATTAAAAAAATTTTAATAAAAACAAAAAAATCCGGAAAATAATAAAATAGAATTTTCTGAAAAAGTGTTTTTTAAAAAATATAACCAAGCAAAATGATTGACTTTTTTTTGACTAAAAAAACTAAAAAACATTTTTGTTTAGGGAAAATGATTTTCCCCCCGAAATTTTCTTCCCTGAATCCCTCGATTGTCCAAAACGGTTTCCTTTTTTTTTTTTTTTCCTTCTTTTCTTCTTCCCTCTTTTATGTTTGAAACGCAGAGAGGAAGAGAAAGAGGGACAGGGAGAGGAAGAGAAAGAGAAAGAGAAAGAGAGAATGGAGCGAGGCCGTTGCCAATCGAGAATCGAGGCCATCGTCGATCGTCGCCACCTCAGCCTTTGCCAATCGAGCCTTGGCCTCAGCCTCCGCCTCCAGCTCGTTTTTTTTTTTTTTTTTGGATCTGAAATGGTTGATGATGTTGATGATGAAGATGAATGGTTGATGCCCAGCCCGATTTTGTTTTTTTTTTTTTTGGATCTGAAATTGTTGATGATGTTGATGATGAAGATGAATGGTTGATGCCTAGCCCGATTTTGTTTTTTTTTTTGGATTTGAAATGGTTGATGGTTGATGCCTAGTCCGATTTTCTTCTTCTTTTTCTTCTTTTTTTCTCTTATTTTTCTTCTTCTTCCTTCTTCTTTTTTGATTTTCTTTTTCTGAAAAAAAAAAAATCAAAACGGCAAAACGACGTCGTTTTGATTTCAGAGGGATTCGGGAAAATGCATATTCGAGCTACATAACATTACTGTTAAATAGCTTCTTCCCAAAAGATTCCAATACATATAGAACGTTACTTCACGTTATTCCTACATCAACCAATTAGCTTGCTTGGTTCCATTTTTTCAAAAATATTTTTCAAAAAAATTTACTTTCTTCTTTTTTGTATTTTTTTATTTTTACTGAATTTTTTCAATACTTTAAGCAATTTTTTTACTTTCTAGACACACCTAACATAAA